AAAAACAATTGTGTATAGTCTCCTGATAAAACCTCAATGTTCATATGGAATCCAATAAAATCACTATATTAAAATCAGTCTAAAATGTTCATTAGTATCCAACACAGTTAAAACATAATTTGAAAATGCCTCAAGAAGGGAGATTACCTATTTAAGATAATCACAGGAAGATTATCAAGTAGTGATTGGATATCATCTATCACTTGTAGGCACGTGTCTTAGTATTATGCATGTAGCCAGCCTTCTTTAATATGTAAACCAATGAGATTGGCTGTGGACATGTTAATCTTTAGTTTGCAACCAATAACATTTGAGGGGGGAGGGGAGATTAATTTATTGTATTGAAGCAAGGGATTACCTTGTCATGATAACAACAATAGGAATCATAAGTTTATTTTAACAATTTCTTCAACAATATTGCTTCAAATGCTAGGATGTGGTCCAGCGACTACCACTGCACGAGCATAGATCCCAGACAGGATCTTATTAAATTCTAAGCCTCCTACTGAACAGATGCCAACTTGACACCTGTCAATCGATATTCTACTTTCGCCAATCGACAGAATTCTAACGGCCGGTTAAAAAGAGCTAATTTCCCTCTCAATCTTGAATAGTCGTCTGAACATGGCTTGTACAATCTGCCAGGGAGACTGTCTCTGGGTCTTGGCCGTGAATACCGATGGATTGAGCTGGCCGTGGGTATTTTAAAGTTCAAAATCGTATCCAACTAAATCTTTATTTCTCGGGCTTGCCTTTACAGGCTTTTAATTTACATCAAGGGAGAATACAACCATGCCTTGGATAAATCATGTTCTAGTATGGGAAAACTATGCCTCTATACCATAAATAACTATGCCATACACGACTAAGCCATAAAGACTGAAAATATAACAAGAAGGGTTTTACACAATAATACAAATAACGGGTTTGGTTTCTTACAGGGAAACTAAATTTCATACGTAGGTAACACTACATTTTATAGGCTGGTAATACACTGGAGGTATATGGCTCATGACAGCTTTAAACAAGGGAACTACTTTGGGTCGACACCGTCCGAACAAACGTTTCAGCGAGAAAATTGAAATACACACAAAAAACTAATATGCAGCACATCAGCACATGCTTATACATGATATATACAGAAAAACAGCTTATAGAAATGATTCAAAGATTGTATTTACCTCGTTCACCTGATTACCAAAAATCGGTGTAGCTTTTTCTAACGAACGTAAAACTCCATTCATTTCATGTCATTTTTCTTACGAAAAAGTTGCTCATAAAATGATTGATTTGGATAATTAACGTAGCGCGTAAAATGTGGACTCGAGTAATACATGTAAAGAATAATTTTGGTAACAATAATAAACGACGCCGTAACACTTGTCAATCGATATTCTGCTTTCGCCAATATTTTCATCGACAGAATTCTAAAGGCCGGTTCACATGAGCTAGTTTCCCTCTCAATCTTGAACATGGCTTTATACGAAGAAAACTATTTCGGTATTTCTATTACAATGTTATTTTGTCAACTTTAGAAAATTAAAACGAAGTTGAAAACAAAGAAAACTAGAAGGGATATGTGTGGAAGATTATCAAGTCGTTGCTCGTGAATGTGCTCATCCTTGTTGACTGCTTAAGAAGTTGGCACATCCCCTGTGGACAGCACTTTTCCATTTAGAAAATCTGAGAATTTCACCTACCTCTTCTGTCCTCCTGAAATTCCATTAAAGACTTTTTTTTGAACATTATCATTTTTC